CAATGCAACAAGCCTATTGGATTCCTCATCAACCATAACTTACATTCAAAATTTTATACAAAGAAAACTCACAAATTTTTTATCTTTCTTTCTCCTTCTCGCTTTCCGATCTAAATCTTTGTCCTGAAAACGATAATGAACTCAAAGAAGCTCATGAAGATGGCCAAGAAATGGCAACAAAGAGCAGCTCTCAAGAGGAAAAGAATCTCAGTTCAAAGAACAAATACATCTGCTAGCTTTGTAGAAAAGGGCTGTTTTGTGGTTTATACAGCAGATAAAACCCGTTTTGCTTTTCCGATAAGTTATCTAAGCAACTATGTCTTCCAAGAGCTCTTGAAGATCTCTGAAGAAGAATTTGGCATCCCAAGCGGTGGACCAATCACGTTGCCATTTGATTCGGTTTTCTTGGAGTATCTAATCAAATTGATCGAAAGACAAATGGATGGAGATATGGAAAAGGCTGTGTTAATGTCAATCTCTAGTGTCAAGTGTTCTTTGCAACAGCAACACCAGAGTACTCAACAATTGCTTGTATTTTAGAGTTTCTAGAGGGTAGATATAGGTTTTTGTAAAGATTTCTATATTTTTATACTTTATACAAAACAAAATTAGTACTCTTCTCTGTTTGAAAAAGGGAAATTGGATTTGAAGTACCAAAAACATCCAGAATTGTGCATAGTGTTCACACAAACAACTGCAGGTGTGAATGAGAAAAAGAAAAAACAAGTACGAAATTCAATGTAATATTTTCACAAATGTTGAATCTTTTCTACTTTAGCAAACAAGTATATCTACCAAATTTCATTTTGTTCAGAAAGGTTGTAGTAGCTATCTATATAAGTATGGGGTTTCCTTGTAAACAAAAAAGATAACGAGGAAGAAATACTAAGATGATATTTGAATAATTTACCAACTTAAAAAATTCTGATTTTTCTGCATGATCATCAAGAATTGTTTAAGAATAAATACCAAGTCTCAATTGGATAAAAAGCAAATAATAAGGAGACATAAAACTTCCAACGAATCTACCTTTTGTCTTCGGTAAGAACATCTTAAAAAAACTCGAGAAACAATACTTTCTACATGTACAAAGAACAAAGCCAAGAATCTTCAAGTTATATTAAAATTTGCCTTAAACTTCAAGCTATGAACTTTACAACTCTCTAATAAACATATCTTTATTACCAGCAGCCTTAACAAGAAAAGAACAATGCAGGTTAGTATATAAAGTAGTTTCATTATGCATCATTCCAAACATAAGAACAAAAACCTAATTCTCCTCATTCTTCTTTCTTATTTCTTCTCCCAGTTTTTGTAGTTTCTTCAAAAGGCGAATGGTGGGTGCACAAATGAAACCTGTTGCTTCTCTACTTCTGGTGTTGAACTTCTGCATGTATGTGATTGTTCTAGGGATTGCAGGATGGGCCATGAACCGAGCCATCGACCATGGGTTCCTCATCGGTAAGAACTCAATCGAAATTATGATTGGTTTGTGTTAACAAATCCTTAACATTTCTAAGTTTTCAGATTCTTCAGTGAGTTTCTTGAAGTTATATGCTTTTTGGCTTCTAACATTTTGGGTTCTTGTGAAAACAAAAATTTGAGCAGGTCCTGATTTCAATCTTCCGGCACATTTCTCCCCAATTTATTTTCCAATGGGAAACGCAGCGACAGGATTCTTTGTGACATTCGCGTTGCTGGCGGGAGTTGTTGGTGCAGCTTCCACAATTTCAGGCCTTAGCCACATCCGTTCTTGGACCGTGGGGAGCTTACCAGCTGCAGCCACAGCTGCAACTATTGCATGGACCCTCACCGTCCTAGCTATGGGGTAATATGACCATAGAAACATCTATCGTTTCACAGGCAAACACATCATGTTATTGAGAAACTAAGACTAATCACTCTTTCATAAACAGATTCGCCTGGAAAGAGATCGAGCTCCACGTGCGAAATGCAAAACTGGTGAGAATATTCTCTCTTCTCAGATCCTATAGCTTAATTTTTTTGGAAAACCGACAACTACTGACTTCATATCCCCCTTTCTGTGTTTTCTTCTCTGTAGAGGACCATGGAGGCATTCTTGATCATACTCTCGGTCACGCAGCTTCTTTACATCGCTGCGGTTCACGGTGTGAGGAGACCTTAAGGAATCATGGGCTTTCGGGGTTTTTTTTCTTCCTTTTCAGTCAATCATCCAAAACTCGGGAT